ATTTAATCAAATAATGATCTAGGTCAATATTCCCTCATCCTAAATATTAGAAGCTAGAAAAGATACAGAAATCAACATATCTTTGTAATTCTACAGTAACACTATTGATGGTAAACCCTGATCTGAGCTTACATATCTATTTATAGTCTTTATCCCATTTGATATAAATATTCATGTTTTGTTGCAGAGATGTAATGTGTTTCATTATAGAGTGTTGCTGCAGATCCCACTGGGAGTGTTAAGTAATACATGGTCTATGATCGTATTACCTTTCTGAAGTCCTTTAGATATAAATTTTGAAAATCATCTGGCCCTGAGAGGTTGGACAAAGGATTGGGAACCAGTGTAAGTCCATTGAGAGGTGGAAGGAACTGCTACTCGTGATAGCTGGACCCTCAAGCACAGAGTGTCAATATAATAATTTATGCAGGAATATGTAGGCAGAATACAGATGAAGCAGTAAATGGAGTTCAAAGTGGTTGCCCTTAGGGAGTGTTGGAAGGGAGGAGGAGGTATGACCGAGGGCTACTATGTTCATTTATTCAGTTTTATTATTATTTGATGCTTAAACTATATATTCTTTTGATGAGAAATAAAAATAATTTAAGAAATCAATCATCCTTCCCTTGAGAACATACAGGATAGAAAGTCAGTTTTAAAAAAAATCAGTATTCATTTCTACTTGTCTCATTAAGTACATAGCCCAGAAGGAAATTACACATCCATTTCAATCATCCAGGGAAAACAGTATTCCTGGATATAAGAGCTAAACATTCTGCGTAAGAGAAGCTCCTCGATGGGAACATGTTACTCACCAGGGTTTAAAAATCTCACCATAGAGACGTAGCTAGTCCCCTAAAAAATCCAGAAAAATAACACCAGAAATGTTTTTCCAGAGGGCTTGTGGAAGAAAGCCACGCAGCTTTGCTCCTTCCTCTCATCCATGGTTCAGCTTTAGTAGAGGCACACAAGGCTCCCTACATCATCATCCTGTGCTGTTTCATGGTTGTTCTTGATATCAGAGATGCTCCACCTGAGTGTATTCATCTTTACCCATGATGCTCATTGCCTCTGTCTGAAACCCTAAACTCTGAAGCATGTAGGAAATAGTCACACCTCACTCATGTCACATGGTGGCATGGACGATATAGCTGGTGGAGTGTCACTGACTGTCACCACACTGCCTTCATTGGATACCAGGGTAAGGAGCAACAATATTGGTAGTTTATAATAAGCAAATTTGCTGTGGGGTGATCTTTCTGTACACTGTGAATATGTATTGCTCCCATTGGTTAATAATAAAAGTTGTTTGTCTTATGGCAAGGCAAGATAATGTTAGGTGGAACAACCAAACTGAGGACTTGAATGAAGAGGGGCAGAGTTGGGGGAGACACAAGCCAGTGGCCCAAAGAACAAGACGCCCAAAGACCTGTAAGCTACGCACTATGTGATAATAAATAGATGAATACAACTGGGCTAATTTAAACGTAAGAGTTAGTTAGTAATAAGTCAGAACTATAGGCCAAACATTCTGTAATTAATATTAAGTTTCTGAGTGATGATTTAGAAACAAGCTGCAGGACAGGGCTAGACAGACAAACCTCCATTTATATAAATTGGCCCAAGAAGCTGACAATCTTGTGCAACTCTTAAAACCATCTGGTTTCCTACTGTTCTTTTGCTAAATGGTCATGCAGTCAAACTGCACAGACTCACATCTGGTCAGAGCACCAAGAATAAGTAACTGTGAGTGATCAGCTATGAACAGGTCATCTTGATCCATCTCCCCATCCAAGGAACACTGTGGAAGAGGAGCAGAAAGAATGGGGAGGGGAGAGCTGTGACATGGTGATTTCTGAACACAACATAGTTGTTGCACACTTAAACTCATAGTATCTATGCAAAATTTATACAAATCCAAGACAGTCAAAGTTTCAACATGGCTAGGGCAGGGCTCCTGAGGTCCCATTCTTGGCAAAGGAGCTATTAACAGTTGGTGATTACGGAGAGGAAGAATCACTGTCCTTTGGGTATATAGGTTGCTCATGTCCTAGTGGATGGACACACACTCATGAACATATGTGGAGCACTAATTGCACTCAAGGGTTTATCAGTAACAACAACAAAACGAGGACTGGACATAGTTTCATTAAGAGAACATATTTACACATCTTTAACCATAGCACTGGGAAGGCAGAAAGCAGATGGATCTCTATGAGTCCCAGGCCACCCAACCTATATGGCAAATCCCAGACAAGCTACCAGTGAAACCCTCCCTCAGAGCAAACAAACAAATAAAAGAAAGGCAGACATGTAAAGCAGAGAAAGTAGGGAAAAGTATGGATCATTAGCAGAGGGGAAAGTTAGAAGAAGACTTAATGGATATGGTCAAAATAATTCTATAAATGTATATTTTTTTAAAAAAACCTTTATTTCTATGTGTAAGGGTATCTTGCCCACATTCATGCCCGGTGTGTGCATAGGCCAGAAGAGGGAATCAGATATCCTAGAACTGGAGTTATAGACACTTACGAGCTGCCATGTGGGTAGGCCAGAAGAGGGAATCAGATATCCTAGAACTGGAGTTATAGACACTTGCGAGCTGCTGGGAATTTAATCTGGAACCTCTGGAAGTATAGCCAGTCCTATTAACTGCTGAGCCATTTCTCCAACCCCAAGAATCATATTTTGTTTAAAAAGGACTGTTAGATCATGTCAGTATGGTGATAAAGGGTGGAAAGGGAATGTATGTGCAGGAGTCATGGGTGTGGACTTCAGTGTCAGACCTGGGTTTGAATTCTTATAATCACATATACTCGTTCCAACATGCTTTGTCTCACTGAGTCACAGATTTCTTTATACAATAATATCAGGATCCCAGCAGTGTGTCCTGTCAACCTAGGTCTCAGTCTTACACTGTCAGCATTTGGTGCTACATAATCATTTGATATAGGGACTATTTTATAACTGAAGGCTGTTTAGAAGTGTCCCTGCCTATGACCCACTAGATGCCACTATTCAACTCCTGATGCCATTGTGACAACTCAATATACTTTTAGACATTAAGATGTTCCTTGAGGAAGAGAATCATATTACAGAGAAACTCAATGCTAATCACTTAAATAAATAAAAATTGCCACTATTCACACTTTGCAAAGATTTTGTTGTTCAAACTGCTTAATACAAATGCATGCAGTCTCTTGGCAAGTACAAGAAGAGTATTAGATTTATATTCATCCCTCAGTGGATCCAAGACCCCCAGTAGGGTCAGTGCCTGAAATCAAAGATAATACTGAGTGCATGGGTGCTTTCTATTCATACATACACACAGGAAAAAAAGATTTAATTATAAATAAGGCACATAACATATTCACAGCAAACTGGTGAGATGGCTCCTTAGGTAAAGGCACTTATTGCCAAGTCTGATGACCTGAGTTTGATTGCCAAAATCAATACCCAGGTACCTTTATCTCCAGTTCTCCTTTTATCTCCATATGTGCACCATGGCATGTATCTATGCCCATATATATTAAGACCAGTATCTAATAATTAAATACAAATAATAGATCTTTTATAAAATACTTTTCTCTCTTGAGATGCTGTAGTATTCGCTGTAGTATTCGCCCCTCTTTTTCTCGTGGTGGTGTGAAAAAAAGCAATATCTAGGTGGTGAGATGAAGGCACTGTGTCACGCTTTTGGGATAATACATAGGGACCACTGGAACCCAATCATCATAGCACTAGCACAGTTGAGCTGATAGCTGAGATGACTACTTAGTGATAGCAGATGAATAGGATCTGTATTGTGGGATAGCCTAGGCAAAGGGATGGTACCTATCCTGGGCAAGGTGGAGCCAGATAGCCCTAGATTTCACCATACTTTGCAGAATGATCCACAATCTAAAACTGGTGAATTATTAATTTCTGAAAATTTCCATTTAGTATTTTTGGACCTCTGGTGACAATGAGTAGCCGAAACCTTGGAAAGCAAAGCCAAGAATAAAGGGAGATAGTTGTAACACTGTCTTAATTGTGTGTGGTGATTATAAAGAAGGAGAAAGATTCTATAAGGGAACAATATCAAAATGAACAAGCAGACCCTAAGGGGTTTCACACCTTCTAGAAGGTCAGAGCTGGGAAAGGCTTCGAAGACTGTACATAATGATACATTTCTATGTGAACAAGGGAAAGGAGGCCAAAAGGCCAAGTTCATTAAGAAGGAAAGTGACAGAATCAGGGCAGAGGCATGGCTTTGACCTGGCACGTCCTATACCACACTGGGCTGTCTGCAGTAGACCTGTGTGCTTATGGCTGGAGATAAGCTATTTCATTATAGAACCCTGAGATGAAAAACAACTATAACAAAAAAAACAAATAAGTAGAATCAAACATGGAGGATAGAGACTAACTAATGATCACTGAGAATTTAGCTTTTTTTCTAAGCTGTGCATTAACCAACTTACCATTTTATTTAAACCTCCTTCCTGTTTTTTTTTTTTTTTCCTTAAAGAAGGCAACTTTCTAGCATGCTTTCATGGAAAAGCATGTTTCCAATTTGTGGTGGTTTGAATGAGAATGGCCTTCATAGGCTCATAGATTTAAATGCTTGGTCACCAGGGAGGGGCACTGTTTTAAAGGATTAGGAGGTATGGCCTTGTTGAAGGAAGTGTGTCATTGACTGTGGGCTTAGATGTTTAAAAAAGCCTATTTCAAGCCCAGTGTCTGTAGGGGAAGCTGTAGCCACGCCTACTTAGGGGCTGGCTACAGGTGTGCCTGACCACGCCCTCACAAGCTTGTGAGGGCGTGGTCAGGGGACTTAGGATGACTGCGTTTGTTCTTTCGCTTTCACTTTGCTTCTTGCTGTACAGACTGCTGCCACGCCGGCTGGCTAGGTCGCTCTGTAAGTAAGGCTTTTCCCTATTAAATACCCTTATATCTCTACCTGACTCTGTATTGGTAATTTCCCACTTTAAGTGTCTCTCTCTTCCTCCTGTCTGCAGGTCTGGATGTAGAATGCTCGGCTACTTCTCCAGCACCGCATCTGTCTGCATGCTGCCATGCTCTTCACCTTGATGATAATGGAACTAAACCTTTGAAACTCTAAGCCAGTCCCACCTAAAAGCTTTCTTTTGTGTGAGTTGCCATAGACATGGTGTCTTTTCACAGAAATAGAAGACAGACTAAAACAACATTGGCTCACAACCTATGGGTCCAGGAAGGGAGATTTCTTCAATTTCCCCCATGAAACAATGATGTTGTCTGAAAAGAGGGCTTTTTTTTTTTTTTTTGCTAACATCTGAAAAAGATAACCTAGGGCATAGATGCTGTTGTTATTCAGGCCCTCAGGAAGACTAAACTATATAAACACAGAGTTGAGAAGATCCATAGCAAAAAAGAAATAAGCAATACATTTCTAGAAAACTTCTTCCTGCATAAGTAGTAGGATGTTATGACAATTAAAAGACGTAGATAAGAAATAAAAAACATCTAGAATACTATGAAATACATTATATGTACTGTAGATATTTATGTGTTTGCATGCATCTGTGTGGTATATGCGTGAATACAAGTGCATATTCATTTAAGAGTTTGGCTTCTGTATTAATGGCTTCAGTGTATTGTACTTAATTAATTGTAACAAATGACAAACAACTTTGTATGGCAATCTTATATGAATTAATGATCCTTATCCTCACTAAATTACCTCTTGGTCTATTGATTTAAGAAATAAGTGATACTTTGATCACAAGCATTCTTTTGGAAGTCCATTTTTATAATCATGTACTCATTGTCTTTGATACTTTATTTTTTCAGACTCCAAATGAATATATGCCTCCTCTCTTTTTGTGAGATCCCACAGAAACACATGAAATTATATTAATGAGAAAGAAGCCTTAACATGCATGTACACTGAAAAGAGCCAGCAAGAGAAAAAACATTGAACTGGGTAAGAAAAAGATTGGTGGAAAAATGCAACATGGCATTCAGAATCTATTAATGAGGATAATAAATATTCTCCAATGAGGTGAAATCGCCAGGAAAATTAAAAAATTGGGGCCAGCAAAAGCCAAAATGAGAAGCAACTCAAAAGGCTGTCATCTTGGTCTGATGACATTCTGTCTTATCTTTTGCAAATGTAGAATGTGAGTTTGACATCACTGGGGTTTGTCCCCTGGCTGGATGTCTTAGTGCTGCTTTTGATGAGATGCCAGAAAGAAGACCTGAGAGTAGATGCTGATGCCAGGAGGGTAAACAGAAGAAAATTGAGATAGCTTCATTTGCAGTTTCTGGCCCTGTGAGTTAGAGCTGGGGCACTACCCAAACCTGTACATGGGCTATATGTCCATCCACTTTACAGGACATCTTCTCCATTTAGGCAGAGGCATTGGCCAGCTTATTAAAGAAAGAGGGCTGTCGGGGATGCAGGCTCACACTGCTCTATGCTATGTTCCTCACACTTCAATTAAGGAACAGAGACCAAGGATCACCAGATTTCAAATAATCCAGTCATGTAAGTATCTCTGCCTGTAGTTAGAGTGACATTTAACCAAACAAATGTCAGAATTTTCTTTTAGTTGAAATAGATGTGTTTGACTTACTTTCAGTACTGTATTTCATACAACAAAACTGAATAAATCATGATTTACTGAGACAATGCAAACAGAAAACAAAGAAATAAATCACACCAAAGAGAAAGTAAAAGATTAATAAACAGAATAACTTACTTCAAGGGAAACAATATAGCTATAAAAAATAGCTAACTGAATAACATAGACTTTGTAGGCATAAAATAATAGATTGCTATAAAATTAAGAATACTTTTACTGGAGAGATTGATGGACAGTTCAGTGGCAAAACACTTGCCTAGCATGACTGAGGCCTTCAGTTTTATTCCAAGAGCCACAAAAATAAAATACTTTTTAAATAAAAAAGAATATGATGGTTAAAAAATAATTTACTCTGTGAGTGACCTTATCCTTCAGTCCGAAAGGCTCACTGAGTAGGGGGAGGAGTAGGCTGAAGGCTACTAAATCTACTTTTAGAGACACCATAACAAAACTGAACAACTTTAGGAGTAGAGAGAGAAAAAAAACCAAATTAGCCTCAAATGAGCTAGAATTATACCAATACCAGATCTCATGAGAAACACAGATGTGAGCAGAAAATGAGGCAAATTCTGAGGGGAAATGATTTCTAGACTTTAATTCTATACCCAGACAAAAATCCACAAACCGTGAAGGAACACAAAACATTTTCAGGCAAGAAGGGCCTTGAGGTGTTTTAATTATATACAGCAAGGAACAAAACAGGAGGAAAGGGGCTATCGAGGCAGCTTAGTGGAACTTGCCTGGTATGAGCACGTGGAAAAAACCCTGGCCTCCATCCCCAGCAACAGCACCCAAAATAAGGAAAATGTGCTTTAAAGAGGAAAACAAAGAAATAGCAAATTAGAAGTGAAGAAATGTGGAAATCAATAAAACACTGCAATATCTAAGGCTGGAGAAATGGCTCAGTTGGAAAAGGCTCCTGCCTCCAGCTCTAATGATCTGAGTGTCCTCTCCAGGACCAGTGTGCTTAGAGACAATCAGTTCTGGAAAGTTGTTCTCTGACCTTCACACGTGCACTGTGGCACCCTCCAGCTCTAATGATCTGAGTGTCCTCTCCAGGACCAGTGTGCTTAGAAACAATCAGTTCTGGAAAGTTGTTCTATGACCTTCACACGTGCACTGTGGCATACATCCACACACATCCACAGCAAATCATAAATAAAATTTAAAATGCTATAAAGAAAAAAACAAGTTTACATATCTCCATCTACTGACCTAGCAACTATCGTCTCTATCTCTCTATCATTTGTATCATTCTTCCTTTGTTGATGTTGTGGTTTTGTTTGTTTGTTTGTTTGTTTGAGTGGGCCTCACTATATAGCCCTGGTGGGCCTTGAACTCACAGAGATCCACCTGTCTCTGTCTCCAAGTGCTGGCATTAAAGGTATGTGCCACCATACCTATCCATATCATTCTTGGAATGGCAGGAGCTCAACAACATAGGACTGAATTTCTTTTCCTATGGGTTCAGTGGAACTGATTGGTTCCACAGCAAAAGCCTATTTCTCAGTTATTATATTTAGTATGCTTTCATGGGGCAGAGTTTCGAGAAGCAGGCTACTGTCAAAGCATGGAGGACTTGGCCAATCGTCTTACATTTTACCAATCTAGGAGTAATACACCCAAGCAACACTGGGACTAGCCACAAGAAGAGAGCAGCTATGTTGTGTGGGGACCACCAGCATATGCAGAGGTAAAACTAGTGCCAGCAATGAAGTCCTTGTGATATATATTCATGGTCACCAGACAAAGCACTAAAAGGCCATAGCTTAAGTGGCTAACATTGGTGAACATGGTGCAGTAGCTTCTTTTCTCACAGCTGTAAGGGAACATATGACAAAAACATTTAGGGGAGGAGGAGTTGAGCTTGGTTCAAAGTTTAGAGGATACAGCTTGTCACAGCAGGGAAACTTGGTGGCCAGGGTAGCTCAACTTCCAGAGGGAGGAGCCTATAGAATGGGACCAGAAGCAAGGCAAGGCTATGACCATCTAACATCCACACTCAGTGGCCTGTATTGATGAGATAGGTCCTTGTGCTCAAGTTTCCACAGCTTCTCAGAACACCACCATTAGATGGGACCAGGTAGTCATATGTGATCCTGGGGTGAAGGGAACATTTCAGTTTCCAATCAGAACACAGGCAGGCATGAAGAGGGTGGCTGCTGCTGATAGCTTTTAAATTTGAGATCTTCTCCTGTGTTTTGCTTTTTCTTTCCCCATGGATAGGTATTTAAATGAGAGGAAAGAGGGAAACATTAGACTCCTAACCGGTCATTTTCTACCACCCTTTTAAATGCCATTCTTTAATGAAGGTTCTGAGTATTTGCTTAAATGTTTATAAAAAGCAACACTTGATTTACTGTTGGAACTACCAGTAGCTTTAGCGTGAGCTTGATATGTAAAATGAAGTTCTTTGCCAAGAACCTTCATAACCCAGGAGACAGAAGTCTGGAGGAAACACCACAGGGAGTGCCAGGCTCTGAGGAAAGTGGTCATATCAAGGTGTTTTAACAAGTTTAGACCATAGTTGTTATGGAAACCATTATGTTATAGTTTGGATTCTTTCTGTGTTAGAGTGGCGGAGAGAACCCAGAAGACCTGTGGCAAGTTATCCATTCTCATAACTGTAATATGTGCACCTTCACCAGCATTTCATCCCAGCCTCTGATAACCACCATCTTACCTTCTACTTCAAGGAGACATCTATGCAAATGACTTCACAAATATTTATGAGCATTGGTAATATAGTCAACATTATTGTATTGCAAATGAGTATGCATTGTGATAAAAATGTCTCTTGCACCCTAAGACTGGAACTATGCTTGGGCCTTTATGTTATGATAATCATCTGCTGAAACAGCACCCAGGAAGAAGGAGACCCCTGTAAAAAGAACAGGCACCTGAAATGTTGGTAGCAACATACAGATATTGCTAGATAAGCAAAGATATTTGTGATATTGTTTATTACCTGGGCCAGTGGGGGTCAATGACCAATGACTTTATGCCTTATAAAACCCTGCTGAAGAGTCCTATTATGCATCTCCTGGTTCTTCTCTGGCTAATGCTTCCTACACTGTTGTTCAAAAAGAGGGCAAAGACTGGCTATGCACATATACTTGAGCACACGTGCACACACGATCAGATTCACAAGATAGCATTCAGATAGACAAGATTCAGACTCATAAAGTAGGATGGAAAAGAGAAGCAGAGAATTCAAATCTGGACTCACTCTTGGTCAAATGACACCAAGGGGAAGTTCCGTATTGTTTTCCTTAATGTAACAGAGACACATTGTTGGTGACTCTTTATCTTAATGCAGTCAAACCAATGGTGGGGCCAGTGTCACTCCTCTTTTTTGTTCCTCCCCAAGGACAAATCTGCCCCGTGTCTGTAAACAAAGTGAATTCTCAGCATTGCATAGTATCCTTCTTGACTTGTGGGATGCTTCGCCTGTTCAGAGAAAAGGCCATCAGAAATGTGTTGCCAAGAAAGAGAAAATGGACCCTGCAGCCAGCCGAAGACGTGCCTGTAAAAACAAACAAACAAAAAAGCTGGCAAAGCCAGCTAGCCAGCAGAGCACTAAGGACCTCAGGTGGGCCCAGTGAAAGATAGAAGCACAGGGGTAGGGCCAGAGGCAGGGAAGCAGATACCAAGATAACTATGCTTACTTCCTGGTTGCCTTTGTCCTGGTTTAAGGATAGAATTTGATGTGTTCTGAATGCTTCTCTGTACTGACTGAGCAAGCACCAGCCCCTTGATCACCATACACACTCCTAGGTGGCAGGAGGAAGTCACATGAAGCTTTTATGAAGGGAAGGCTGCCAAGACCCCAGCAAAAAACAAACAAACAAAAAAAAGAAGTCAATGCCAATGCACAGTGTTTTTCCTATGTTGATGTTCCAAATTGCTCTACAACCAGAGAAGGACAACATCAAAGAGGCAGATGAGCTTTGAAGACTTTGTGGGTGGAGGTTGACCAGCAGTCCTAATAAATATGCATTGTCTATAGAAGCAATGTGTGTGCATACATGTATACACTTCGTTTGTTTGTTTGTTTGTTTTTGAGACAAGGTTTCTCTGTATTGCTTTGGAGCCTATCCTGGAACTTGCTCTGTAGATCAGACTGGCTTCCAAGTCACAGAGATGGACCTGCCTCAGCCTTCCGAGTGCTGGGATTAAAGGTGTGTGGGACAATGCCCAGCAAGTGGCCACTTGAAGTATCTGGCAGTAGATGCCATGTTTCCTATCCAGCAGTGTCTCTGGCATCTTGAAGGCATCTAATATCTAAATAATCATCTCACTAAAGGAGTCATAGCAGGCATTAGAATTTGGTTTTCTAGTGGATAAGAGGATGGCTTAGCAGTTAAAGTGTTTGTTTTAACCTGCTTTGAGAGCTGGAGTTTGGATTGCCAGAAACTGAATGAATATAGTAGCCTGCCTGTAATGCCAGCTTCAGATTACAGAAACAGGGATTCTCAGAGCAGGAAGGCTAGCAGGACTAGCGATGTAACATGAATTCGAATTGGTCTTAATAATAAAAACTTGGAGTCAGCTATCAGGGGGTGAAAGCTGAAGGACCAGGGAAGCAAAGCAGCCAAGCACTAGAGGTCTTACCTCTTACCAATGCTCAGATCAAAGGGGGTGATCTTGTCCTCACACTGCCTCCTCAGACTCTTCAGACTGACTGCCAGAGCTGCTGTCTCCTCCTGCCTTATATTCCTGTCTTCCCCCAGCCATATCACTCCTGTCTCCACCTCCCTAGTGCTGGGATTAAAGGCATATGATCCCAACTGCTGGGATCACCTTTGTGTGAGCTCTGCTTCTCTTTTAGACTGAATCAATTTCATGTAGCTCAAGGTGGCCTTGAACTAACAGACATCCATCTGTCCCACGAGTCCTGAGATTAAAGGTGTGTGCCACCACTGCCGGGCCTCTAGTGGCTTAGCTCTGCACTCTGATCTTCAGGCAAGCTTTATTTGTTAAACACAAGCAAAATAGCACTACACATATTGGTGAGCTCTGGGTTTTATTGACAGGCTCCCGTCTCAGTGAATAAGGTCAAAGAGTCAATGAGGACGGTTGTCAACATCAACTTCAGGCCTCCCTACCCGCTCTAACATACCTGAATGTATACCTCCACTTAAGTGTACCCACACATGCTAAGACATGCATACACACAAGTGCAACACCCCCACACCACCACACACACACAAAATGGAAAATGGAAAAAGGGAAATGAATTCAATTTTCCATCTTAGTTTGCAATGCTACATTCAACACATTCAAAGTGGGAAGGCCACTCTTGGTCCTTCACTCTCTGGGCACCTCTGCTGGTGGATGAGAGGAATGTAAGCATACAAAAGGAAATTCTGAGTTATGTCACATGCCTTCCTGAATACAGCTGCATCTGGTGCCAGGAAGAGAGTGACCTAAGTATGTCCTGAAACTGTTTATATTATGAAAGACTTTAGACTTTGCAGTCTAAATGTTGCTGAGGGTTTTGCCTAACATATCATCAGTGATCTGAGTCCCTCTTTAGTCTGTAAGATGAGATGGCAGTGTCACAAGTAATCTTGCTAGAATTGAGAACGAATTATTCTGATGGGATGCTATTGTCTGTGACTTCATGGCTGCACCACTCTCCCATTTACTGGGAATTTCCTTTTAGGGTTAGGTTCCTTCATTGCCTATAAATACATAGTTTCTAAAGTTTCCCTTAAACTGTTTAAGTTACAGGTTCGTGATTTTACATCTTTAAAAATCAGGTATTGGATTTTTAAAATTTATTTTTATGGCCTTTAAATTTACTTTTATTAACTTTTTATTATTAAATTTATATGTACTTGTATGTAATGTGTGGTTTGTGATGTGTGCATGTCTGCACACATGCTATAGCATGTGTGGATGTCAGAGAGCAATGTGAAGGAGTTGGTTCTCTCCTTCCACTGTGAGGGTCTGTAATACGAACTAATAAAAACACAGAGACAGATATTGGGGTTCAAGTTGATGCTCGGATAAGCAAAGCAGCCAGGCCACTAGCTCTTACCTCTACCTCAGACCCAAATGGGTGATCTTGTTTCCATGAATCCTCAGAGTACAATCCAGACTACTACTCTCCTCAATGTGGCTGAAGAATAATTCTCCGAGACTGACTTTGCTTCTTCCTTATATATTTTTCTAGAGTTGGGATTAAAGTGCTGAGATCCATGTGCTGAGATCTCCTTTGTGTGAGCTGTTTCTCTTTTAGACTCGTTCACTCTAATGTAACCCTGGGTGGCCTTGAACTCACAGAGATCCACCTGCCTTTGTCTCCTGAGTCCTGGGATTAAAGGTGTGTGCCACCACTGCCCAGCTTCTATAGCCTACTAGTGTGGCTGCTGGAATTAAAGGTGTGTATCACCACTTCTTGGCTCTATGGCTGTGGCTAGCTTTACATTTTGATCTCCAGTGGCTTTATTAAATCATGAATAATATATCACCACACGGTCCTAGGGATTGTACGCAGGTTATCAGGCTTGGTGTCAAGTGCCCTATCTACTGAGCCATCTTGCCAGCCTATTTTTTACTTTTTAATGCCTAATTTTTGAAACATTGTTTTAGGGATTCACCTGATTCTCACCCCTTTGCACGACTCTCTGCTTTTCTCTCCTGGGTGCATGTCTGCCTGTGCACATGTGTTATGTGTTTAAAACAGTATTCAGTGTTGCATTTAAGAGACTGAAAACCCAAGGTCAAAGTTGTGCTTCTTCACCTCCTAGGAATGTTGGTTAAATACCCTCACAGCCTCAAGTCCTCTGCATGTAAAATAGGAGTAAGATTAGCATTTACTTCATGGGCTGCTCTGGGACTTAACAGCATAATTCATGTAAAGTGGCTGTCTGTTGCTTAGGAAACAGCAGGCACACAATAGATGCCATCACCCCGCCCCCCTTTCCTATGGTAGAGTGGGGAGGGGACTAATGGTCACTTTCCAACAGGATGGAGGTGGAGTCCACCAGGCCACCAGGTAGCAATCCTCCCTGACTAAACATTCTCCTGTCTACACTTTTCTCAAAAAGCCTCAGACAAATTCCTTGTGTGGGGTCTGTTCCAATCCAACAACCATTCCCGCCTCTTACCGTACAAATAAAATGCCTGCATTATTGGAGGCAAAACGATGCAATTATAATGCTACATTCCCTTACCATGAAGTGTGTCTGCATTCTTGCCTCTAGGACAGACTTAAGCACAAATTGTTGGAAAATACTTTCTAGAAAGTTTCCCATAAGGCCAGAAATGGCTCTGGAGAGTGACTCCTGACTTTCCCTTTCTTAATCTTGTTGCCTAAAAGGAAGCTTTGTTGATGAAATGCTAGCAGCTAGTAGATCCTGAGGTAACCTTCTCTTGTTAGCCATGGACCATGTTCCCATGGAAAGAATATGCAAGGAACTTGGGGCTGGCTCTCTGAACAGTGTTTTAGAGCTCCACTTCCCTTGGTTTGTTCAACTCCTTCTTATAAGATATAAAACAACTTTGTGTGACACTGGTTTAAGTTTTCCATTGTCTCAACTGAACTAACTTATATATCTTAGTGTCTTTCCAGCCCAAGGGGAACTTTCAGTCACGATAGTCTTAACAGAACCTTGTTGTAAGACTCATGTCTGCTCTTCTGCTCTGCACAGTTGGCTACGTACGGTTTCTTGGGCATATCATCCCTTTCATACCAACATGCCAGTTTCCTTACTAGGGAATTTTTCTCACCCTAGAACACCTTCAGGGTGTTCAAGGTTGATAGTCCCCAGCATGATCATGAGTTTTAGAGAAAGGCCAAATATTAGTGTCCAATGAAGAATTTATTTCTGATTTGTCTCTTCTGGGAAGATCCATCTGTAGCATAGCACTGTGTGATGAAATGAGTATAGTTGGGCCTCATGATTATATTTTGGGGACTTTCATTTTTAATAAAGTCAATGGTAGCATCAGGCTTCTACCTTCTGCAAACTTTCTTTGCCACCTCCTGTCGACCCCCACGACACCAAGAAAGGTGTTACCATTATCTCTACCACATAGGCAGGAAAACTGAGCTTCCTATTAATGAATTACATCAGGTTTCTTCATTTCTTCATAGTAGTGGGCCAGTAAAGAAGCTTGCTATCAATGGGATATTTTAATAGCAAAAGAAAATTTAAAAATTCTACCAAAGATTTAGCTGGAATTAGGGCTTTTATGTGATTATCAAATTACATACTTCACTACATACTTAACTTGGCCTGTTTAAAAGTTATTAAGGAAATATAAGAAAATTGGTTATGGAATTGGATGAAACACACACACACTTCAAATTTGTTCAATGCCTTACATCTTTTAAAATACTGAGAATTTTGTTCTGTGTGTTCTAAGAAAACAACTCTTGGGCAGAAACATAAACATCCTATTTCTGAGTGGTCAGGCATGCAGGGCTACAAAAAACCATGAAATATTCATGATGGCCAACAGATCTGAAGAGAGGCACATGGAGCTCCTTCATGTAGGGAATGGAGCTGGGACTCAACAGTACAATAACAAACACATCAAACAACAGAGCTCTAGTAAGAAATTAGGTCTGAACAAAACACATTTGCTGTAAGTCTTTCAAATCATGGTCCCTAGGATTGGGGTCTAGGTGTGTGTTTCTCCAACTTCTCTCTGATATCTTTCTGCAATACAATTATTTATTGACTGGACTGGTGGTCCCGGAACTTCACTATCCATATTCTCTTCTGCATCAGAGAATATCCAGACCTGTGTTAGGCCAACTGACCCAGACCACTCCATTCCTACAGATCTTTCTTCTAAAATGAACCAAAAACCACATACTAACTTACGTGTTTGCACGACCAGTCAGTTAGTGGCTTAACTGACTTGTTGGGTACCACTTCAGAGCATCCACAGAAGAGTAAGAGGCTGGCTGACATACTTTGGCCCACACATATGTTGCTGTCTACCACCAAAGACCCTGGTCCTCCTGGCAGGCTCCAGGTTACACT